GCACACCGATGAGAGGGCATGAGTGTGCAAGCGATTGCTGTCACCTGAATACTACCAGTAGGTGTCATTTTCTGTGTTGAATGTTTGTAATGTGTCGGCATTTGGCCCTAGTCAATTGCGAAGGGAATAGGATTGGAGTTGCCTGTGACACCTCAACCAAATGCAAAACCGTATTCAACAGGCTGAGCCTGATTAAGGTGTAGGTAGCCGTAGTGCTCAGTACTTTGAACAATAAGAAGCCTCGAAGATGGATTTTCACAAATTATTTGTAAGAGAGTATAAATGTATAGGTAAAGTTGAGATTGACGCTAATTTTGAAAACTGGATTAATTTGAGTAGAGAGGGCTGTGTTAATGATGACGTTAGGAGTTGCTTTACCGCTACGGCACAGGGGGAGAAGATCGCACAACAACATGAAGCACTCTTGTCAAGTTACTTTGTGATTACTTTCATCCGCAAACCAGTGACATGCCTAGCATCACGCCACGTTTCTGAGGCGAAGGTCAAAAGCGCCGCCTTCGGCTGCCTTGACGATATCGCGTGCCTACTGGCCGCGTAAATCCCCATCTAATCAAATGAACATGGGGCGTCGTCATGTTGCACAATTTGCCTAATTTCAGAATTGACGTGTCGCCCTCTGTTCACCTGCCTCCAGCAATAGCCTCCCTTCGTTCACATCTGACACCGCACTCCCGTGGTTCGCTGTTCACCTTACGAGATGAGTCCGTCATGTCTCCTCCACATACTGTCAACCAGTCGTACAGTCCTTGGGTTGACCCCAATGCAGATGAAATGCCATCTTCGCCGATCTGGAAACATCTTAAACGAGAGGACCAGTGCAGTGAACATGTGGCTTGGTGGCAAGGTCTGGTTCCCATTTCCATAAACCACTTCCCACTTTTTGCTGCATCACTTACTACTCAAATCCAATTGTCCCACCTCTTCGACATTTGCTACACGTTTTCTATGCCCCCTTCCTTACTTTCGTGCACATCATGCTGGAGGTGTAGTGGGCCCCGGTGCGGTTTTAGAAACCACACCAGGGCCGACAATCTACATTGATACGGCCCGACCGAAAGAGCAGAAAATGCGAACGGCTCGTAGCTCAACTAATTTATTGATGCAGCCGTGTGTGTGTGTACGAGATAACAAGTACGTTTATATAGCCTTGCTAAACGTCGATCCCTGAACGAACATAGTTAGGTGAAGTTCATTCACGTAAGTCAATTGAATCATGTTCGTTCGCGTGCTGCTCACCACAGAATCTTAGCTTACTATCACTTCTTGGTGGTTAAAGCAATGCACAACGATAATCACGGTCTCGGACGCACTACTTGAAGTCCTATTCTTCGTGGAATATTGAAGCGACGCTGCTCTGTGATTGCTCTCCACGAGCCAAGTTCGTTAGCAGTGATTTCGACAGTGGCAGCAGCAGCACGACAGCTCGAGAACCCAAAGTCGCATTGCGCAAGTTACAGACGAACACTCCCACGAATTTACGTTGCACCAGAACATATCGAAGCATGCTAGTGGTCTAACGCTGCCAACTGTAAACTTAAATGATAAATCGCGTTGGATTGATGCCATTGCTTCTTCCGGCGACATATATCATTACTTCAGGAAAGCTTAAATGTGTGTGTCGTAAATCGTGTTTTTTTAGCCCCTTTATCCGACACAGGGTTCCCCTGTTTCCCAACATGGCGCCAGCCGCACGAATCCCCAACTCCCCCTTAATTCACATTAATATTTATCTTGGATTATCCTCACGCCTAGGTCTCGATGTTAGTACATGTATGACTCACACATCCGAGGTATAAATGCACACGTGCAAACATCACTCACGACACATCGAAACCAGTGTGGTTGAGCTTTGAAGTAAACGATTGTGTCCCGTCCCCACCGGTCTTTTTCTTCATCGCGGGCATCAGGCAAGCGTAACCGAGCCAGGGTTAATTCTGTGGCACCGGCGTGGTTCAAGACCACATGCTGGGGCCCACAACACGCGTTTAAAATGAGTTGTCTTGTTGCATGCACTTGTGCCTAGTCGATGTGGCGCGTGGATGTTTTGAAAGCGAAATGAGGAACTTTTCAAATCTGCAACAGTTACGCTTTATTGTGCCCAGTTTGGTGATTTATTCAACGAGAAGTGTGTTTGGCGTTTAGTTATGCCCAACCGTGACAATTGCACCGAACCACCTCCTCCGATTTGCACACCCATTCACATGTGCGCAGTTGTTGCAGAATGTGAGGCCAGTCTACTGAAACCCACCTGCCTCACACCTCTCAACGCACACGAGTAACGCAATACCGGAACACAATCGTTCTCAATGTTAGTCAATTTCGGAATTGAGGTGGGGCGCGCAAAGCACTGTTCCAACGCACACGCACTAAGTGCCTTTGTGCTGCGCACCTCCGTTGATGAAATTCAAGAACCTTCCTCATAATGTGCTTTCTATTCTCACAACCAACGCCTCTTTAGCCCAATGCAATATTTCGATATTACTCTGCTGACTAAAACCTCCGAGTCATGACCCAAAACGACAATGCCGCTTTTCAAAGCCCAATCAGTTTAGGTTTTCCGAAACTGAAAGAATCTTTAAAGCGCTGAGGGTAATAAATGCCGTAACTGTTACTCTAACTCGTGAAAATACCAACCAGTGTGACCGCCACGCCAAGAGTGATGTGTAGAATCCGTGGCGTGCGCATACCTGAGCGTGGCATGAAGGTGCAACAAACGGAACGGGGGTCAGATTCTTGTTCATGACTGCGCACATCTGAAAGCCTCTGAAACATGCAACATTGGGAGCCTGAATGTTGTACAACAAGTGTTCTGAGCAAACCTCCAAAGTGCCCAATATTAAAGAGTTATGAAATTGTTGGGCGTTTGTGTGCTGGCGGTCAGCTGCTTGGTGCTCGTGGACGTCCTAGCTTAGTGGTCCTTGTGGGAACCCTCTGAGAGATGCCCCTTCGTGATTGACAGTCTCTCCACGTCATTTCGGCCCTCTGTGTCTGGTGGCATAATCAAGTAGTGGGATTGTGTGTGTGCGTGTGTGCGTGTGCAAAGTTTAGACAAGGACTCGAATGTGACCCCAGGATTAATAAATACTTGGTCACCGGTAGCCAGAATTAGCCAACGACGTCGGAAGCATGCAGGCCTATTTAAACACCAGGCTGCTAAATAAGCGACTGACTGACCGTCTGACTTTTACATGGAGTCAGGCCCTCAATGTGTGCAACTTCGAGGCCGTAAGCCAATCGCTTACTGTAAAGGCAAGAGGTGGGACCACAATCGTCTTGCTGGGTCACATCAAATGTTACTGTGTGTGAGCGGATGCCGAAGCGCAGATTGGCGCAAATGGCCTGTCCCATGTCTCGTGGCTACCAGTAGAGTGGTTTACCATAGACGTGAACATGGCTAGGTTTTGCCGACGAATCACCAACCTAACGGGCATCCGACGGTCCTTGAGGTGGTTGATCAACTCGAAGCAAATCGATCGTATTTCTATTGGTATTTGTTGAGTCGATGTTGTGCTTGAGACACACTAAGAGGACACCCTGAATTCACGAAACCAACGTCACAATTTTCATTCCACAGAGGCGTCGTCGATTCATCCAGGAAGTCTACGACCAGAGTCGGAGGCCCATCAATCCCACCCAATAATGTCGCTCGTTAGCCAGCGAGACACAAACTGAGGCTAGCGAAAAATGAGGGCATCACATGCACGCACGATGCGCACACACACACACACACCCACAGATGCACGCACGCACACACACAAGCACAGTGACACAAATGCACACACGTGTGTGCGCTTACAGAGGCTTTTGAGGCCAAGCTACTGAGGCCTTCACTTGACTCAACAGAGGCCCACGGATATAAAATCGGAGCTTCGCAACGGAGAGACCACGGGTTCATTCGTTGCGCATTAACCATCTCGAAACATGAGCGACTACAAGGCCATTGTTAAGAATGCTGACATGTCTGAGGAAATGCAACAGGCAGCCGCTGACCGCGCCAAAGAGGCCATGGAGCAGTTCAGCATTGAGAAGGACATAGCCGCTTACATAAAGAAGGCCTTCGACAAGGACTACTCTCCAACCTGGCACTGCATTGTTGGCCGCAACTTCGGCAGGTAAGCATTGCTTCGGCCCCAACACCATTGCCGTTCCCCTTAACATCGGTTTCGCTCTTCACGCCGCCTCCTCCTTCCATTTCAGCTACGTGACCCACGAGTCGAAGAACTTCATCTACTTCTACATGGGCCAGGTCGCAATCCTCCTCTTCAAATCGGGCTAACACATTTGGCGACTGTAAATACACATTTACCGATATTTGCTTTTCTTCAGTTTTGGGTATTTGTCCACTCACAAGGGGGCTATAATGCTAGATTATTAACAGCACAATATTGCTACTGCGGAGTTTGTGGATACGCTGCTGTTAGCAATCTCTGTCGGTGGATCCCATTTTTGCACAAAAGCCACGACCTGTTTGACACAAACAGTTTGCTAGTTGCTTGTACTTTGGCCTGTTTAGGGAATATTGTCTTGTCTGTGATGCTTAGCTGCCCATCGAAGTGCCTACAAAGCCCCAGTGTTTAGTTCGAATGGAGCCGGATCTATGACCAGAATGAGAGAATTGTAGTCTAATGTCGGAACTGAGCGATCGCATGCGTTTAACATCCACTAGAGCAACAATCAAACGTGAGTAATTGGAGCGTCAGTTTGTGGCAAGGTAGGTGGGGAGCTAAGGTGATGCCAGGTAGGTGACCAATCGACAGGTTGCTCGAACAAGTACGGAAGAGCCTACAGCAAGACAGGCTCTTGTCAGGTGTGTCAGGGTGGCTGTGAGAGGGAATCAGTACATCACGCATGCAGGAAATGCGCGAAGTGATCTGAATTTACAAAAGACGATTCTCGGCAACACAAAAGCAGCGTGTAAACACCTTGTCAGTGTTCACTCACCAGCCGACAATGATTCAGAGTCCCACCTTCCCGGTCTGTTTTGGATTACTCATCAGCCTACATCTTACGCCACAAGTACACATTGAGGGTAATTTTTCAAAAGTCAGGTTTCGGTAGGATAAGACACGAAGCACCCATAGATGAGGCGCGAGACCACGGTCAATCGAGACTCGGTGTCTGTTCGGCAAGATGAATTTGTTCACACGTGGTTGGATAATAGGCGATGGGCTGTGCTACTTCGTTTGTGGTCGGTTGCAAAGCTGCATCACTAGCTGCAAGGGATGTGTATGATGAAGAAACAGAGAATGACTTCTAGTGGCTGGTAAAGCAGCATCAGGTCGTAGCTGACCACAAACATGTTTAACTGCACTCGTAAAATTAGCTTTACCTACATTATTTGAGTATAATATTTGCGAAATATCACTTTAAATGCTCGACAACGCGATTGCAACACCATTTCCTGCTTGAGTTTCCATTGCTGAAATATTTAGTTTGAATGAATCGCATAGGCCAACAGCTGGAAATCCGTGTTTTCTTGACACATGAATGCCAGCAGTGTGTGACTCAAGAAAGAACCACCGCCCTGTTATTTTTCGTGGTAAATCCGGAACCTTCTACCCGTTCGACGGCAAATGTTCCAACGGCCCTCTCACGTCTTCCATTGGCCACGAATTGTGTGCTCATAAATCAGATTGTTGTGTTTAATATAC